ATTCACGAATTTATTGAAAACTAGAGATGTGCCGAGTACTCAGTTGATACTCGTACTCGGCCTCAAATAACTCAATAATACTTTGTTATTTTACAACGAGTATATTTTTTTTAAGCAAGCATTATATATTTAGGTATATATCATTTCAACGAAAGTGGTTATCCAAAAGTATTTATTAGTATTTTAAGAAATCTTTGAAATCTCAATGAATAAAATCAAAACTATGCTAATGAATGAGACAAAATTAGGAGAAATGAGAGCGAGCCAACGTCTTGACCGGCGCGAAACTGTTTGTACTTGTTTAGCGCGCAAAATAGGAATTTGGTTGAAAGGAGTTTATCGGCCGAGTACGCGAAAAAAAAATTAACCGAGTAAAACTCGATACTCGTTACTCGGCAAAAGTATTACTTGGCGCATCTCTATTAAAAACATCACCTTTATAAATTGTGTTAGGTTTTCACGGCCATCATTCAGGATATCAATGTTTCTGAGTGAGAAGAGGTTCTCGAAGAATTATCTTAATTAATCGACTAATCGAGGTGGTAACATCTGATGATGATAATGCCGTCCGCTCGTGACGACGAAACGTCGAAACTTTTCACTCACGTCGGCCGAACAGCCCGAAAAACAATGATATGCCGGTCACATTTATAGTCTTGTCTCACCAATTAACCACCAAATTACATTTTTTTTTAAACTAAAAGAAAAAGGTCTTTCAAGTGGTATGACCCAACCACTTACTGAAAGCACGGCATTTTTGCGAATGTTACACAAAATAACTTAAAAAGAAGGATTATATGAATACGCTATCATTATTTAATTTACGTAAAATGACTTTATATATAATAGTTTATTATTATATTAGCGTCTTCCAGGTCATTGTTAAAAATGTATTACTGTTAATGTTAATGATATATTTTTCGTTTCAAACCATATCAAAAGATAACTTTTCTATTCATTAAACATCAAAACTTTGATACCAAAATACATGTAATTAGTGCGTTATTCTTAATATCAAACGCCCACATCGTTAGTGAGTGACTCATATAAAAGAGTTTAACGAGCCTCGAGCTTTCTCCTTTCCGAGATTTGTGGCTTGACTTTGTTATCAAGTCCAAAAAATTCTAAGTCTAGTGAATAATACAAAAACTACATACAATATATTGTAGCAGTACGATCAATACCAGAAAAAGGTCCTCACAGAATGATTTAAAGACATTTGAAGAGAAGCTATTAGCGCGTTGAACTCTTTAGAACTACCATTTTATTGTGATGTATTTACATCTAATTCATAGGTTTTTCTTTGCCGATATAATTATATCTTATTTCCCCTTTTTTATGGTAAGGGGTAGACACTTTTTTATATATTGTTCAATAATTATTTTTGTTTTATGTAGGTAGTTAATCTGACTTCCACCCGAACTACAATTTTTACTCCGGGATTCGACCCATTGCCTCCCGCACTTATCGCTTTACTAATTGCGTTTAACTAAAGTGCTATGTCAGCTGTCAGTATGCTTATGCTCAAAATAGAAGAAACATTAATTTGGTAAATACAAAACGGAGTAGGTTTTTTTAAAAGATAAAATATTACTATTTAATGCACTGGCGCATCGCTGAGTCTATATGAACTAAAACATTCCCTTAGTTTTTTCTTTCCCATATATCCGTGCTACATAGTTACTAGCATACCATATTCGGAATCATTTCATAAATTCACCTTTCTTACTAACTGTGTTTCCAAAAGGTCAAACAATTTGATCAAGCGCAACTGATAAAAATCACATCATTAATTATAATTTTGGCGGCCATTGTGTGCTAATGAAGGTAATACAGTTACAATTAGCAATTTCGCATATATTGTTTACCAAACATAATTTGACGTCTATGAGAACTAAAGATAACGGGCTCTTGTTACTGTGAATGTCTACAGTGAAATCCGAATTAGATTGTGCAAACTTTATAACGTTAAATTTTATATATAGGGTTGCCTGGAGGAGATCGCTCTACAGCGATAAGGCCACCCAATGCTTAAGACTATTTTAAGGGTAACATTTGTAAATACTTCGTGAATATTCGTTATGAGTAAATAAATAATTACAATGTGGCGAGAATATATTAAACACTTATAGCATTCTCTGTATATAGAGAATTTCACTGTATATTTGACGAATATAAACTAACATGACATTTTAGACGTAAAGTTTGTGCATTCTAGTTTCCGTTGTTGACAAGGGATGATTCAGTAATACCGTACTTTTTATTACATATCGGTAACTCGTAATAAATATAACGTAAACAACGTTACAAGTAAAGAATAATATTATTGAAGAAGATATCAACTAGGATGCTCTAAAATAACTGATACTTTGTTGATATTTCCATATTAAATAAAACAATTTAACGGTTTAAAACGCGATATATTAGTTAAACCTCCCCTGACCACGGCTGCTGCAAAGCATCCGAAACGTCGGGCCGAAGTTAATAATCATTTTCAAATAAGTCTAACTAATATATCGCGTTTTAAACCGTTAAAGTGTTTTATTTAAATGTGTACTACTCGCGTAAACTATAGAAGTATTAGTATTTGTCCTTTTAAATCTTCAATAGTGGACGCTGATGTAAATAATCTCGGCTTTGCCTCAATGTTGGCAAACCGTTAGTTGTGTCGACGTATCTGCTAGTTGGAATCCCAACCGGCTTGCGTCAGATATTATCACACTTCTGCCCTATAAAACTTGCCTAAGCTATGAACAAAGCCTTTTCATTGAACGCAATTAAGAATTTAACAAGTTGCGTCAACAAATTTTTGGTAGGAATATTGGTACCGTCCGGGTCACCAACCAACGTCCACAGATTCAAAACGCCGTGAAGTTTAATCGCGCTTTGGTTTCAGTCTGTGGAGTGTTGAATGTCCAAAGCCAAAATAGGTGGAGGGCGCATCTTGTTTAGAATGTTATATGGCTGGTAAGGACTAGTATAGACTATAATTCTATACTAAAAGTCCATTCTTGTCTGCCCTCCTTTATCATAAGAAAATGTTCAATACAAATATGATTAATTTATTTCACGAGCTCTAAATAAAAATATAATAAATACAATCTTTGTTAAGTTGGTTAAGAAATCAATAGCCACATAAACAGTTACTTCGTAGAATGTGATTTAGATCCATAGTAATGTTAATCTTTGTAGCTTAATTATGTCTTGTTATCCGTTTCTAATTATGTGTAACGGATGTAGACGATTAAGTACTTCCTTCTGATGAGTTCAGGTGGGTTTAATACACTGTAATTTTATTAAACTTTGTAGTATATCATAAATCATTTTTAACTCTATGGCTAAACGCCTTGGAATCCACAACCTTTCGTGATTAATCACGAAAGGTTGTGGATTCCAAGTCCCCATGCCCCACATGGGGACTTGGAATTACACAAATCTTAAGGTGAAATGCTTTCTATAGTATCATATTCTTCTGCTGTTTTGAGGACAGGATATTTTTTACAGATAGTAGTTTCACGCAGTTTTATTTATTTATTATTTAACAAAAACTTCTACCTTAACAGATTAAATACGACAGAAAGAAAAAAAATCAAATACATTAAAATATTAATAATTACATATTATATATAAAGCTACTTTTATGAATTCACCTAGGGAGCAGTGAAATTTGTCTATAGCCTGATCTGTAGCGTCTAATATACGTCCCAAAATATCCGCGTTATATACCTTCCCAATGCAAGCAATGTTAACATACAACATACTTCTTAGGATTTCAACTTGGTAGAACGGGTTCTTCAAAAGAATAAATCTCTTCGTATAAGAGTACACTTCGAGTACTTAAAGATTGTAAAATTAAACTTGTCAAAAAGAGCGAGGTGATGGTGGTGAGATTTTGGCCAGTTCCTGCGAAGAATTTTTCCTGTATTGAAGTTTATCAGTACACTTCAATACAGTGACTAATCAATAATATCTAGTATATAGATAATTGTTGAATTAATTTATTGACAAGTAAAAGGGCGGGCATTCTAGCACATAATTAATTAATTGTCAGTATCTGTGGAGTGTATAACTGTGGATACACACCGACCACAGAGTATATCCTATTCGATACACAGATAAAAAACCACGTGCCTCAGTAACTGATATGTAAAACTGACACTTCGACCTACACTTTCTCATGGTAACGGTATATCGACACACATTTGCAATGCGACGCTCAAATTACATTATATCGATCTGATTAGAGTATTTTTATAGGAACATGTCTTTATATTTTAAAGAGGAAAACGTACGCGAACAACTTTTTATGACGTTTTACGACTGCTAATTGGTAGTCAATTGTCAGTCGGCCATTTTAATAGCTAAAACAAAATGTCAATAAAATAAAAACATAAGGCATACAGGATGTTTTAAACGTATAAAAGGTAAATAAGTTTTTTCCGTGTTAAGATAAACAATTTATATTACAAGCGTTGTGCAGCGAAATACTTTTCAAAATATATAAAATAATATTGTTATATTTTAAACCAATAATATTGTTATATTTAAAAAAAATCCCACTTTAAAATCTGTCTGTAGTTCACACAAGTAGAACATATACATTTAAGTAAAATACTTTTAACGGTTTAAAACGCGAAAAGTGTTAGTTAAACTTATTTAAACTAGGGACCGATGTTTCAGATGTTTTGCAGCAGCCGTATTATCAATAAATACCTAATACATTTCGCGGTTTATACCGTTAAAAGTGTTTTATTTAAACATTTTGAAGCAGATTTATAGTTTTGAAACATCGTAATATTATTTTTTATAGATTTTAAAACCAAACCAGAGCGGTTTATCAGCTTTTTCCGTTAAAATGAAAATGTACCTTATATAATTTAGCAATAAAATACATTTTTACGTTAGATAACCGTAAAACTAATATTATAATTAGTACGTTGTAAATACACCGGTTTTTTTTAAGAATCCCGCTAGGTGCGAATTTCTTCACCTCCCAAAGTATGTTGGTACAAATATTGGCCTCGACAGCTGGTGATGTAGAGGTCTGTTACAGACAAGCTATTTTGTAACATGTAGTCAGTAAGACGTTTCTTTCTCTAAGAAAAAGATTTGTAACAAATAGGAACGCCCACATAATTTAAAATGCATATCATTTCTAACTATTTAAGAGATAATTTTGATTTTATACTCTGGTTTTTAGAAAGAATTAATAACATAACACCATATTACATCTTATTACCAAGCCGCCATTTTGTTTAGGAAAGAATTTATATAGAGATAGGCTTTGTGACATTTTTTTATGATAGAAAAGATCTTGTCTGTCCTTGTTTTCAAAAATAAATATGATGCCCAATGTAGATAAATCTTTTTAAATAGTGTGTTTTAATGATCAACGCATCTCTCTCTCGTAGAACTAGTCTTCTGGCGCCATATAACGGTCATTTTATTTAACGGTAACGGCCGTTAGCGACAGTGTTGGCAGATGCAAAAACAAGAAAATATAATATTGGGGTCAAGGTTGTGAATAATGTTTACGTAAATACTTTAAAATATGCGTAATCTTCTGATACAGTAACTATAGAACAGGCAAGACCCAAACTTTTTTAAATGTTTTGTATGGAGCTAAAGATTATATGACTTGAGTTATTTACATTTTCACAGTCTAAAAATGTTAATCTACAAGGTCACAGTGACCAAACATTGTTAACATAATTCTCACACATATAGTACAAATTTATTTTCGCCTAAGTTGATAGCACATCTTTATTTTCCTCCTTATTGGAAATCTTGTTTTTTTGTTATTAGGCCTTTACCAGTCTCATATGTCAGCGAAGAAATACGTAAAATATAAACATACATAAACAAGGACCTAGCAATTTGAATTGCTTTGAAAAATCGCAGTGTTTCATTTAAATGTGTACTAGTAGGTACTTTCCATGAAGTTACGTTTGTCTGTGCTGCTCTATCATTAAAAAGGTTTAACAGTGCTTTAATCTGATTTATTGAAGTAAATCCCTTTGTTCCAGACCTCCAGACATGCAACAAACCTGAAAGCATCAAAGATGGGCCCACCAATAAACATGTGGCCGTGCAGCCACCCGAAACTGCACACGAGCGAAGATAAACGGCTGATCTTCACTCTAGTTGAGAACGTGCGAAATATTAGCTTCAATTGTACTGTAGTTTTAGTGTTAGTTCAATTGTTCTTTAGTCTAAGTTACGTCACTGCTGGACCGGTGATTTTGAGCTTGGATTATTTACAAGGTGAGTGATGTTGTTTATTTTATATTCAATCACAAAAATAAAATAAAAAAGTTATAGAGTTAGGTTACAAATAAAAAACGAATAAGTGTTAAGGTTAAAATTACATTGCGCGAGAGGTGCATGTATCAATAAGTTAAAAAATTCGACGATGAGGCGTAGGACTCGGTAGCTCAATTGGTAGAGCAACAGCACGGAACGCTGACGATGCCGGTTCAAGTCCTGTCCGAGTCGAAATTTTTTTCAATTTATTTTTGATTTTTTAAATTATATAGTGCTTTCATATGCAATAACATGTGAAAAATATTGAAGTTTCCAAAAAACGACTAATTAAAATTTATGGATGGTACAATTTCTAAAACACTTTTCATTAATATATAACAGAGTTGTCATTTGTTGTAAAATTTGTCATGTGTCAAAGGTACTTTATTATATTTCTCTCGGCTTCATTATCGAAAGATGTGTCTACAATAAACAATGGATTGCCAAACTTTTCAACACACTGTGTAGATAATTCTACGAAATAGTTGAGATTTGAAAGTGAATTTTTTTTCTTGCTTGACTCATTCTTGTGTTAATTTTACGACTTTGTTTTTTTTTTAGATCGGGCTTCTGATTTTGCCGCCCAAAACATTTTATTATTGTGCTTAACGCGATTCTATGCAACACGTTTGGCCCATAAATATTTTATTATGAAAAATGAATATCTAAGATTAGATGTAATACAGCCACAAGAATTTGACGTATTTTCATGTTTATTGCTCTCAGTTTTAATTCATTATATTCTTCATTTACTTTTTCTAATGAAATACATAAAATGTCTAAAACAACTATTTATAAGTTCGAAAATATTTAAAGCTTCATTATTAATATTTACAATATTACAATGACTAGTACTTAGTGTGAGGGACCACCTCTATAGCTAAATGGTTAAACGTGTTGCCTAGCATTGCGTTAAGCGCGAGAGGTCCTGCGATCGAATCCCAGTTAAACAAAAAATTGTTTCGGTGAGGCAGGGCACAGAAGTCTGATCAACTACTTACCTGTTAAAGAACGGATCAGTGAAACGGCCACGGAAATGTGTTCGCCCCATGCCCCACGAGGGGGAAACGGGCTAGTACTTAGCGTAGTTTTATGTTGCAATTCCCTTCTAAGACAATTTTATTTACTAAAATCTACCTATCTACGTGGCGCTACAGCCCCTTCGACATTGGTCTATTCGAACAAAGACCTCCAAACCCATGTGGATGGGCGGTGAAATACCTCATATTACATACCCATAATATTATAGAGCGTTCTGCGCCCGTACGACAGTTTTTTAAGTCACTAATAATTAATTTAACGGTCTGACTATAAAAATACATCTAGAATGTTTCTTTAAAAGCCTACGCGTGTTACCTTAATGTGTTTCTGAGATCTTCACAATGACCTCAATGATGGGAGTCAAAGGAAGTGAAAGTTACAAACTGACTTACTAACATACTAAAACTTATCATTATACCTCTATCCTTATGGAGACTGTTATTGCCTTAGTTTCTGGGAGTCGAACCCAGATTAGCATAGAAAAAGAATTGGTTAAACATTTTATTTATATTAGGAACAATATTTTATATGAAAACAGCGCACTTATCTAAACTAACAAGTGTTTGTTTTAAAAGTCAATGTAATTTTTTTGGATGATAGTTGTTGACACAGCTAACAAAATGCGACCTATTTCGTCTTTGGATATTCGAAAAGCTCAGACAGAAACGTGATTAAACTACCCAGCTTGGACGGAATATAGATATTTATGTTAGTTTCTCTAAAGTTATCTTTCTTAGACTAACTGATCCGGAATGTTATGTTGATACAACCAAAACAAATGCATAAATTATAACCAAATTTGATTACTATAGAAACGGTTGCGAGTTAATCTTAAGAAGTACACATAGGTTACATAGAGGGTTATATTTTTTTCTGTTATTTCTAATGTTTCATCGCTCGCAGCGTGATATTATATAGCCTAAAGACTGCCTCGATAAATGTTCATCACAAAAAGACTTTTCAATTCAAAGTAGTCGTTCCTGAGCTTACAATTAACGATTAAACAAACAAACAAATAGCTTTATTAGTATGGATGAGACCTATGTCAATAATATAATAAATCGAGATGTCACATTTTTTAAATTACAGCATTTGTTGTTAAAGAAATGGAGTTTATTACATAAATGATGTCTGTAGTTTACGCGAGTAGTACACATTTAAATAAAACACTTACAGGTTTTATTTTTAATATCTATATTTTTGTTGAGATCTAATAAGCAGGACACTTCTAAACGAGTATTTTTGGGAAATACGCTATTCAACTGCTTAAGTAATAAACAGGACAATTAACGTCCCACCTGCTTTGCTTTCTCCGGGTGACACATCGTGACAAATATTTTACATGCGTATGCGTCATGGTGGCATCTCGGAATTTAGTCAGAAAATTGGTGTCTTTTTAAAAATTGATAAATGTATGCGTATGCGATTTGACGGGCTCGCTTGTGTAATGGTAGCAATGTGAAGCTAATTACCAACGGGACGTGGGTTCGATCCCCACCGGGTCGAAAAATTTTATAATTTATAGTTTTTCTGAAACTTCATTTGGGAATCTGGAATATTAATTGGGTGGTTGGAATATCGACGGATCACGAACCACAGACCACAGATGAAAAAGTCGTGAAGTTTAATCACGCTTCAGTATTGATCCATGGATTTCCGAATATCCAAAGCCTATATAGATCGACAGTGCATCTTGTTTAGACGCTGGGCTGTGGCATGGTCTGTCCTCCTCTATCTTATCTCTATCCTTAAAAAAAATTAATACGTTTTCGTTACGAAACGGAATAGTTTAAAATAATAAGTCCTAAAAAAACTTAATATCGGTAAATAAGAGGACAACGTGAGTCAGTTCTGTCAGAACCCAGCCATTTTCTCCAAATACGAACTACAACGAAACAGATTGCGTTAGCGCACATCAGGCCGTAATTAAAATAATTCAAAATAGGTTAACTAATATACTACTAACTCCTCATATATTTCGCGTTTAAAACCGTTAAAATAAAAAGAACCGTAGGATTCAAACACTGGATCTTTGTTTGTAAAGTACCTTAGCTTCATCATCGACGCAGTTTTAAATCTGATTAATGTTAAAACAAAGGAATAAAAATTTTACATTCCATGAAATTGACGCAAATATAAAATAATACTATACCATTATGTATGCTGCATACATAGACTATGTTTTAGATTATAATCTGACAGTTGCATATAATAATTAAAGTAATTTTCAAGTTTGATGGATGAAAATTATTTAAATGATTTTACTCTGAACTTGACCCAGATAAGGTCATCACGACTAACATGCACTATAGCTCAGTGGATATTCTATTTGCGTAAAGTTATCGTGGGTTCGATTACATGAAAAATACATAATTTGGATGGTCGCAACAAACAACAGTTTAAATAAAATACTTTAACAGTTTAAAACGCGATATATTAGTTATATTTATTTGAAAATGATTTTTAACTTCGGCCCGACGTTTCAAATAAGTTTAACTAATATATCGCGTTTTAAACCGTTAAAGTGTTTTATTTAAATGTGTACTACTCGCGTAAACTATAAACAGTATTTAAACTACAGTTTATTACGAATTTATTTATGTTCTTTTGTTTTTGAGTCCTCTCAGGAACAATTTAAAAAAATATGTTTGAGATACCGTATTTAATTATGAAACTAACAGTATACCGGGCACGTGGGCCCCACCTGGGCTATGAACGAACATATCTGTGTAGTTTAATAATCAAATCTTTCCAATAAATGTATAATCTTACTGAAATATGATAAAATTCTTCTAGAAATCTTGATTAAAATTGTGTGGAAAAGCCGTTAATCGCGTTTTGGTTTCACTGTGTAGATTTCTTAACATCTTAAGGTAAAATAGGTCGACAACACATCGTGTTTAGATGTTATATGGCTGTTGTATTTCAAGTACCATGAAGTGAAGTGAAAAAGTCAATATATTTCACATTTAAAACTGTTAAAATGTGTTGTATACCAATTAGTGCGTTCACCTCAAGTACATTGTGAATGTACCTGTCAAGCCTTATAAGCTAATTTTTACGACCACGTCTTCGCATTTTATAGCACCTTCGTAAAGTTAAGATGAGATGCAAGATACGGTTATAATATATTGCCGAAGAGAAGACAGTAGATGCTCAATTCATTTATTGTTAAGAAAATTTTGGGTTTAAAAAAATATTAAAAATTTACTGTTTTTTTGCAAGTACATTTTAAAGAAATACTGTTATTAAAATGTTGTTCACGATAACGCGGCTGCTGCAAAGTATCCAAAACGTCGTATCGTAGTTAAAAATAAGTTAACTTTTCTATCGTTTCAATTCGTTTATTTTGTTCATTAATAGATTTTAACTAGCCTTCTTTTTATATTGTAATTAATACAATTACAGTACAGATTTTTTTCTAATAGGTTTAAAATATTGAAAAGGGCATCGTGCTCGAGATATCGATCGTCGTGTTCTATTAGTAATTACTCCGCATTTAAAAAATAAGAGAATTGATGCCTCTCACGACGTCCTTTGGGAGTATATTTCTTATTGTTTTAGTTGGATTAGATATTGAAAAGACAGATGTACTGACACCGTAACGTGTTACGTTAGGAAGCGGTTTACAAACTCCTAAATCGTTATCATTTAAATAATCTAAACAAAGATAAGATTTGCAACGTTGCGCCATCTACCGTTGTATGCATTACTGTTGTAACGATGTTGCTAAGCAATGCCATAATATTTGCATGTCCTCAAAGGATTTTTTGTTTTCTTACTACCTAAAAATTCCCAAAGATGGCAGTTATTTCAAAAGTAATTTATTAAACTAAATTAACGTTTTTAAACCGTATAGAGTTGCATCAGAACTTGACATCGGTCTATGTGTTAAACTATTAGCACAAACATTGTTTCTTCAAATATTCATTTGCTTTTCTCTTGTTTCAGGTCCAGTACCCCTAGCTAGAAATATAAGACACTTACCCTGCGTCTCAAGAAGAACTGGAGAAGAGGGCCTGTGCATGTTCGCCATAGACTGCCTCAAATCCAACGGATCTCATTTAGGGACATGCATCGACCGGTTTTACTTTGGTTCCTGTTGCCAGATACCGGACAAAACCATCCTACCTAACATAATCAACAACATAGACGATAATACAATAGACACATCCAATTTCGTGCACCCACAAGAAGATAAATTGCACAGCATTAATAAACTACCTAATTTGTATAAAAAGCCAGTGACAACGACTAAAAAACCTGTTGAAGTCACCGAAATAACGACAGATAAAGCACAGCATAGAACGGACCCCGATGACAAGATCAAATTAACAACACTAGATAACACCATAGAAGATAAAACGACAAATGCTGTATCCAATATACAAGATACCACAGAAGCAATTAAAACAACGCAGAAAGCCCCGGGCACAGAATCACCTATAAAATTGTCGACTTTCCAAAGCGTTTTCAGTGATCTAAGCAATATTAATCCAGAAACAACGCCTAAGCCGGTAAAAATTGAAACAACAGAAGCAACAACTACAACAGAAAGACCAAAACCATCCCGCAAACCCATAAGACCAACGTACAAGCCACGACCAACTTACCGACCTACGAATTTCACACGGCCGCCCTATACAGGCACAGGCAAGCCCAGACCAACGAAACCCTTAACAATCGTTAATACAACGCGAAAACCACCGTTTAGAATACCACCAAAAAGACCACCAACTAAAAAGCCTATACCAATACCGCCAAGACTAAACATCACTATCATACCTCAGTCTACAAGCTCTCGACCGGCTTTCACAAGGCCATCCGTTCCTATTATAACGTACATTAACACAACTGTATCTAAAGCTGAAGAAAGAACAACACCCACGACTATCTCAACAACACTGAGCACGACAACAACTGAACCGACAACGACATCAACAACACCACGTACGACTACCACAACTTCAACTACAACCATAACAACTACTACTACTACGACAACAACAACAACACCATCACCGACAACGATAGAAGAGGAAGAAACAGAAATGACCGAGACTGATATTCCTGTTGTAACAGAACCTGCTACAACGACAGAGGTTAAGTTTACTGAACAGACAACAGAAGCTGTTAAGCAGACGGATAGAGTGACAGAAAAGGTTTCAGAAAGACCAACAACAGTTGTGGAAACAACAGAATTTAAAGAAACAACGGTACAGGAGGTAACAGAAAAGGAGACGGAGCGACCAACAGAAGCGGAAATACCTACGACTACAGAATTCCCGCCGTTCGTGACGTGGTCTTCGAATGTCGACACAGCAACGAAGACACCGGAAAAACCAACGACACAAGCTGATGGTAAGTGATATTTTAATTAAAATGTTGTTATTTTAAATTTATAATTGACATTAAACAAACATTTACAATCAAATTAGTGCACAATGGCGTAGTTAATATTTTAATTAAAAGAAATATTTACTACAGAAATTAAGTTAATTTTAATCAACACTCAGTTCAGTTCGTAAAGTTACATTCAATTGTAAATAAATTAATACATAATATTATCTTTACTTATTTAAAATTCAGGAAAAATATATCATAATTTATATACTACATAAAGAATAACTGGTCAGATACAAACAAAGGTAACAAAACTAAAAAACAGAATACAGAAAATAGAAAAAAAAGAAAGGGGGGTTACAATTTCGTTCATAAAAGCCTTATATTACTTACTAGCTGTGTCCGCGACTTCGTCCGTGTGTAATATAAATTTTGGGGATTATATCAATTACATTATATTTTTCCTGACTATTATACAATGTTACCCACGACGCGCGTCAACCGCGTCACGTGTCGTTCTTGTGAGACCATTTTAAAAGATAGACATATACAATCACGGTATTCCACATTTCCCACTGTTTCTGCGCTCGTATTGGTCGCAGCATAATGTTTAATAGCCTAATTACTTCCTCGATAAATAGTCCAATCAACGCCAAGAGAATGTTTCAATTCGAACCAATAGTTCCTGAGATTAGCGTTCAAACAAACTCTTTACCTTATAATATTGGTATAGATTGTAAATCAATAATCTTCGCGTTACCTTCGCGACCTTTATATTGTTGTGAAAGTAATTTCACTGACACCACAATATTGACCTGACTCGTGTCTGACCTGGATACGTGACGTGATTGGACAAGCACGGCGATGGATGCAGTCAGCACGACAATGTATATGGAGGTGTGAGAATTCTTTTCTCGACAATGTCAAAGATTTTAGTGTAACAATGTTCGTGCACTCGTTCGTACACTCCTCGGGAACGGCTTGACCAAATTATATGGGATTTCCAGTATTGCCCTTCCAACTTAGCACCTATTTTTAAAAGTGGCTAATTTAAATATTTTTTATTGTGTTTATAACAATCAATCCGTCAATTCGTTTACAGTTTCGTCGAGATCTAATTCAATAAAGTTTTAAATATCTAATGATGTCTTCAATTAATATTTTGCAGATATATTTGAAACCGTAACAGAAAAACAACGTTGATTTATGTGATTTGTGATATGATACGCTGTAAATTAAAATTGGTTAGAGCAGCAGCACGAAACGATGTGGATGTCCGTTCAAGTCTCGCCCGTGTCGTCAAATTCTCTCAATCGAAATAGATATTTAAATCAACATAACAGAGAATCAATCTAACTGTTTTTATCTCGAGATAAATATAAACAAAACCCACGCCCTGTCTCTACAAAAAACTTAGTCGTTAATATTGTTAGGCAGTTACACGAATAATGTTTCCGCGATGAATCAGACAAATCTAAGAATCGATGCATCACGTTATTATTGGCAAGATTTCGTGTCAACGACAGTTTAAAAAAAAAAAAAAAAAAAAAAAAAAAAAAAAAAAAAAAAAAAAAAAAAAAAGGAAAAAAAAAAAAATTAAAAAAAATTATTAAAAAATTTTTTTTTTTTTCCCCCCGGGGTTTTTGAAAAAAAATAAAATTTTTTTTTGGTTTTTTAAAAGGGGGGGGTTTTTTTTTTTTTGGGGTTTTCCGGGGGGAAAATAGGGAGGGTTTTTAATTTTTTTTGGGTTTCTAAACATTAATGTTTACTATACGAGTATAACATAATAATTCATATTATAATTAATAACATAATTGAATTGAATTTAAAGCTTTAACTGTGAAATTTCAACAAAAACAAACAGATTTATTATCAAGGGCTTATAACAAACTATATTAATTCAATGAATTTATAGAGAAATAACAATGAGTACCAGTCTCTGAGTCTGTGCTGTTAAAAAAGCTGTGGTTCTAAAATCTTAATTCATGTACACATGCGAAAACTTGCTACTTAGGACATTTATTTAATGACAGGTGAAGTTATTAGACGATGATATATCTATATAAGAATCGGGTAATGACCTGTTATTAATGTTTAGAGTTTCTACATTAATAACTATTTTAACGCGTATAAGAGCTAATAAATAAATCACGCTTAACGGTTTAATACTCTAAATATATACGGTACTTTATTATAAACTGCGAAACAACGTTTCGTATATTTAGCACGAGTCGTGGTCACCGGGAGACTGTTTCTGCAAAGCATACGAAACTAAAAAGTTAAAATTAGGTATATATTTCGCATTTCAAACGGTTTTTTTACGTAAACTGTAGATGATATTTAAGACCTATGAATAAAGGTTGTAGTAAGCTGATAATACCTGTACACAACGTGCTTTTGACTTTCCTGTTGAATTAGGGATAATCATTTTACGTTACTTGGAACGAGCGTTAGTCATAAAGCTCTGGTTTTTTATCTCATCAAGACTATAATGCTTGCTGGTTTAAAGCATCCGAAACCATTGGTACATCATATCTATATTAATATTATTAAGCTGAAATTTTCGTTTGTTTGTTTGAACACGCCTATCGCAGGAACTAATGGTTTGAATTGAAAAAATCTGTGTTGATTAGAGCATTTATCTCTTCTTCTAGGCTATAAAATATCACGCTACGGCCAATAGAAGCGAAGAAAAATGGGAAATGTGGGAAAACTGGGAAAATTATTCATCTTTTTGTGTTTCCGTTGTGTGCGCTGTAAAAACCGTTCGAGATATTCATAAAATATGTATAAAAAAAGTATTCATATTTAATATATCAAAAATGTCCGCCATAGTTTATGTCTATATTTTAGGATTAACTTTCAAGAACGATGACACCCGAACGACGGGACGCAACCGATGTCGTGCTAAAATTTACACAGATTAGGAGGTTTGCAAACAAATTTTGACCCCGGAAATAACTATTCCACGCGGACGAAGTCGCTGGCATAACTAGTTAAAAAAACATAAATATCATTATAATATTTAAAAATACTATCAAATGATCAATCAGCAATCAACGTGTTTCAGACGTATGGTCACCAATAACACCACCTGAAGGTTGGCTGCTCCTAACTGTACCGCCGACATCATCATCAACAGCATCTACAACAGACGCAACAACATCTGAACCTGTAATAACTGAATCTTCCCCAACAGTTCTTACCTCGCAATCAAGTCAAGCTCCAACAACAGCACAAGTTGAAACAACAACAATAGCTCAATCATCAACAATATTATCGTCATCGACATCCTCAACAACAGTTTCTGAACAGATGGAGTTCACAGTAAATGTTACTCTGTCACCTACTCCAATAACAACAACGGAAAAACTTTCAACTGGCAACATTACATCTGAGACGCCCCTAACTGAAGGTAAGACGAAACAACTGTCTGATAATAATTTTCTCTCCTACATTGACAGTCAAGATCAGTGTTTTGTCAAATAATTTTTGTCACTAAGTATAAACAAATGCTATGTGTTGTATGATTACATAATATATCTAATGAGCTGGTCTAATGGTAGCACTGTATGGCTAAAAAATCAACGATTCGTGAGTTCGATGCCCGACTGGTCTAACATATGTCTATATAAGAGTTTTAAAATTTTTCCTAAACATGTTGGACTTCGTCTGGTAATCTGGATATTTTATGGGTGGTAGGACCGTAGGAATATCGAAATTCAGTACGGCTCACGAAAGACTGTCCAGAATAAAAATAAATTACAATTAATAAACAGGTGATATTTTACAGTGTGTTTACCCGATTAAAAAAAAGTTATATGCAAATTAATTTCATTTTCAAATTTTCAGGACAAACAAACGAAAACAAAACAGAATCGACAACAGTCATTGCTACCACAACGGAAGGGTACAACATGTCGAATTATAAAGAAGGTAAGTTCGTACTTACCATTAAATTTGACCTCTTAAACTAAAAAAAACTACCCTCAATACTACTTATAAATAAAAATGATTACTACATTAAAACACTATTTTAATGTCATATATTCTAGAATCCCGCAATGAATATTATTATTTAATTCTATTTATATTTCAAGACAATAATAAAATAGCGTTAGGATCATTATTACAAAGAAGCCGTTTTCTTTGTTTAACCTCGATATAATTACATTTCCGTGTACCGTTGGCAAAAAAGACGTAATCACAAAATTCTAAGATTTAAATGACATGAAGTATTTATGGAGGAATGTTAATTACATTTTATAAATCATAAAATGTACTTAATAATTGTATAACTGGTAATAGATTATTCTAATAGAGAATTTTAATATACCACTGTAGTTTTTACACTTCACGCTTGTACAACAAAGTCGTGGATTTTCTTAAACTTTTTGGAGGAAGGATACTTTGAAACTTTCCATTGTTTTATTTAACTATCCGTACATAAATCTAAATTATTTCCGTGCTAGAAAACCACCAAAGAGATTATCGTCTGTGGTTGCGGTCGATCACTCAAAGTTATCATCAGGGCCGGTCTTTACGTGAATCTGATGACATCCTGATGACATTGTGCATAACACAATTTTCTTTACCTTAAAACAAAAGGAAATACGAATCATTTAACTCAAGATAAAAAATCTCCAATGAAATGGTCTTGAGTTTATATGCTTCATTTTTTTAGTTACTCTATCATGGCCGTTAATAAAGAAGTTTGTTTCACAATGGCTGCCTTCGCATTCTAATTTTGAATTCGTAAATAATGCTGACATGTAGAGACCCACTTGTGAATTCTAATCACAATCTTCGAAAAAGCCATTGGTTATTCACTCGCAAAAGGCACTTTCGGTCAAAGCCCTAAACCTGACAGTAGCCACGCACCGTGTAAAGAGTAAAAAATGATCCGTAGTATTTATGAAACATTACAAACAATGAGACGGCTTGTCGGAGTTCGCGCGTGAATCTACACGGCCAAGGTGCAAGGACGCTAAGAAAATTAAATTTCGAACGTGTAACAAACTACAGATTATCGCCTTTTTAAATTGGCGGGAAAGTGTTAAAAGAGTTCTAGAGTGTGAAGGTTTTATAGGACCGAAACGCACTTTTAATCGCAATATACGGAGCTTTGTTTTCGAGATAGTGGAACCTGTTATTTATACAAGTGCATAAGTGCTTCGTAGGAGGCAATGGCCTACGAAAAATGGCATTGTCCAAAACCGTAGTAACAGTCACGCGTAGACTATAATTTGAACTGGCACGTTTGTTTATCTAACCTGTGTATTAGCTTTGTAACTGATTTTAAATTTCGAATCTGTCAAGTTATTGACGGTTACCATAGACAAAGGCAGTGCAAGAAGGTTTTAAACGATGATAATAAATTCGACGTTATTGGTCTTGGCAGTGTGTGGTCGGCGTATTTGGCCGCAGGCGCGTATAGTCGGCGGCGCCAAGTCCAGCTTCGGCCAATGGCCGTGGCAGATATCGCTAAGGCAGTACAGGACCTCCACGTACCTCCACAAGTGCGGTGCGGCACTCCTCAACGAAAATTGGGCTATTACCGCCGCGCATTGTGTCGAACAGTAAGTATATAATTAAGGCAGATAATTATGTCACTTAGACGAGGTTTAAAGACGTGGAAAATTATTGAAAACGTCTGAGACATCTGTAGATCTTGATAACAGGAAAACGTACAACGGAACAACGTGACACACTATAAGCAAATATACATATTTATTACTGTTATATACTTAAGGTAAGGTATAATAGTGTGTTAAATAAATGTCATTAGAGTCAAACCCGCGTTGTTATTGTCACGAAACCACTGAGTCGGGTTTATTATAACTAAGCAAGTCAACAAACTGAGATATAAAATAAAAGTTATAACTAAAAAACTCGGTAATACCGAGCTTATAATTTAAAAAAGATGTTTGTTTCAATTCGTGTAAATTAGTTATCTATACTATATTATAAAGAGGAAAGATTTGTATTTTTGTATGTAACGGATAAACTCAAAAAGTACTTTACCGATTTTAATAATTCTTTTTTCATTAGAAAGCTACATTATCACTGAGTAACATTTACTTGATTAATAAGCATCTAAAGAAATTCTTACTAAAACCAACGGAAGGCGTAAAAAAATTAGCCGTAAAATATCTTTCTTCGCATACGCTGCGAAAAGTATTAATGATAGGACAAAAAAGTGTTCAACAATATTATAGAATGAATATATCAATATCTACAAAAAAAAATCACGAGAGCATATGTCTAACTATTGTAGTTAAGTCGCTATAACTGCTTTTATACATTTAACAAATTAATAGAAATGGCGATCAAAATCAGATCGTGTTATCTATACCGTTTATAAATTTTAATCCAAATAAATAATTTAATATTCAAGACTATCTCAATACCTAATGATTACTTTTTTAATTATTGAAATCGGACATTCCATTCAAAAGATATCATGAAGTTAAAATAAAAATACATGCCGGCGGCGGTCGCCACGCCGCGCATCGAGTACTTATCTAATTCGACGATAGAGGCAGTGGGCTCCTTACGCAGTGGACACGACCGACATTGAATATTTCATTTTTTTAAACAGTTTTATGCTTCACTTAAAAAGTTATTTTCAGAGCTACTTAGTTTTAGTATTAGGAATCACACTTTGCATAATATTTGTCAAAGTTCTTTTCAGAACTATCGCTTTGAACTTGAATATTTTCTTTTGTATTATTAATTTATTCTTGATTTAGAAAATAAACATCCTTCATAGCAATATGCCTAGAAGAAGAAGGTCTATCTAAGAATAGTTCCCAAGCGAGATTAGCAAAAGTTCGTCGTATTGGAGAGTCTTCTTCCTAAAATGATCGTCTGGAAAGTATTAGAGTGTACGGGTCCCAATCGCGAGCCAAAGATCGTCGTCTATCGTCGAACGTTTAGGTTCGTTTTCCAGAACAAAATGCAAGATCGTCGCAACGACTTGAAAGAAATAGAGCTAGGAATTCGCAAACGCGTGCACTGGACACTAACACTGAACGCTGAACTCCTGAACCAGCGAGATAGACCACGGTCGTTAATAGAGAGGACGCGCAATACAATTTTTTTTGTAATTTAGTGATTCATGGTCGTTTTAATTAGCATGCTTATAATTTAAATATTTGTACTTATTTATATCTTACGTACCCGTGCGAAGCCGGGACAGGGCAGCTAGTTCAATATAAAAATACTTCATTCTTATTATTTTTTGATATTCAAATTGGAATTCAGTTTTATTTATTGTCCTCAATGATGACAGATGAAATGAATTAGGAGTTGAAATAAATAAAATAATATAGCGATAGGAAGAGTCAGGATTTAGTGAATATTTTTTATATTCAATTACAAAACAGCTATTTAAAAGTCTTTCTACACCACAAATACACTAATTTTTAAATATATTTATGTACCTACAGTACAACACTGAAACGGCTTGAAACGCGAACTATATTTATGACGTGGTGTTACACCATTAATGAAAATACATAGCTAACTAAATCTTCATTACAGCGTTCCGCCTTCAGAGCTGCTCGTACGTCTCGGAGAACACGACTTGGCCAATGAGGATGAGCCATACGGCTTCGCAGAACGTCGTGTGCAGATCATCGCCAGCCATCCACACTTCGATCCGGCTACCTTTGAATACGATTTAGCTTTGCTCAGGTATTTATTCTTATTTAAATAAAACGTTGAAACGGTTTAAAACGCGATATCTTATTAGTTAAACTTATTTGAAACTGATTTTTAACTTTGGCTCGACGTTTCGGATGCTTTGCAGCAGCCGTGGTCACAATTAGACTGTCTCCCCGTGTCCACGGCTGCTGCTATTTTATTTAAATGAGTACTACTCGATTAAACTATAGACTCGGTTTCAGGCTGTGGATTTCTGAATATCCAAAGCTAAAATAGATTAACATCGCATTATTGAAATGTTCTATGGCTGAGATGTTTCACCTAAAAATAATTGAATTTTTAAACTTTCCTCGTTAGTATGTATAACAGAATTGTTTGTTTTTAGGTTCTACGAGCCAGTTACGTTCCAGCCGAACATCTTACCAGTCTGTGTCCCCGACAACGATGACGATTATGTTGGTAAAACTGCGCACGTCACTGGTTGGGGGCGTTTATATGATGGTAAGTTGGGTTAAATTAGTCATGGGCGAATCGAATCCACACTATTTGTAATTCAATTGTGACGAACAAAAATACACTAGCTATAAAACTATCCAATACAATATAAATAATATAAAAGAAAATGTAATAATTATAATTACTTTTAAAAATTATTACTTTTATTTACTATTTGCTATTAGATGATAAATGCCTGAAATGGCTCTCACCATGAAGTAAAACCTATGCTTATATTGGATGTTCCGTTTTATAAATTATTGAACACGTAATATTTAAAGAAACTTTCTTTTTACAACTTTTGAACTTTCCACAGAGGGTCCACTGCCCAGTGTTCTACAAGAAGTAGAAGTCCCGATCATCAACAACACAGCGTGCGAAGCCATGTACCAAGCGGCTGGGTACAACGAACACATTCCGAACATATTTATATGTGCCGGGTGGAAAAAGGGAGGCGCTGATAGTTGCGAAGGTAAGCTGAGAAAGTTGAGGTTCACTCGAGAAATATAAAGCTATAATAGGTCGATAACACATTTTAAATGTTATATGATTATCTTCCAAGTGAACGCATGCTTCTATCATAAACAAAACTCTCGAGAAATATTTTAAGGAAATTTACCTAAACTCGACTCTGGTTTTATTCCTATTTAAAGAGTGTGTAAGAACGAAATATATACAATTTCTTTCACCGTCTTTAACAGCAAGCTCAAGTAGGCATTCAAGTTTAACGTTATAAGGGTTTAATTGACAATTGGGGAAGGAGGGGTGAGGGGGGAGGAAACTTGAAATTCCGATACAACTATTTCGTAGCACAGACACGCTTTAATGCCTGTTTTATTGTTTGGTTTTACTGATTATATTATTCATTCAGCCGGGCTTGGTACTAATGTATCTCTAATAATCAAGAGGCATTAATTTTTATTTTTTTCTAACATTTTGGACTTCGTCTAGAAATCTGGATATCGAAATACAGAAATTTCATCCACCGTTTACAGATGAAAATGCCGGGAATAAAATCCCCGGGATTAAATCCATGCTTAGTTAACTACGGAATTAGGGAACCCGTCTATGAGTCCGCAAAAGGATAAAAACAAAAGCTATCATAGATTTAAATTATAAAGCTATCTGGTATTTTGGTGTGTATTACCATTGAATGCTATAAACCGTCTGTAGTTTACGCGAGTAGTACACATTAAAAAAAATATAATATATTAGTTAAACGTATTTGAAAATTTGTCTTCCCGTGACCACGGCTGCTCTAAAGCATCCGAAACGTCGGGCCTTGGTTAAAATATTTTTCAAAATGGCGTTATAAACCGTTAAAGTGTTTTATTTAATACCATTGAATGCTTTCAGGTGACAGCGGTGGTCCAATGGTAATCCAGCGGGATAAGGACAACCGTTTTGTCCTGGGCGGCATAATTTCCTGGGGTATTGGTTGCGCGGAACCAAACCAGCCAGGAGTCTACACGCGCATCTCTGAATTCAGAGACTGGATAAATCAAATTCTACAATTCTAGAATGAAGCAGGGATTTGCATAAAAACTTTTTAGTGAAATAAAATTTGTTTCTGAACTCCAGTGATACCAACATTGCGATGTTGATAATTATGAAAAGTGAATTTTTACGTACATATCGATAACGTATTAAGGTTACTGACTGCTCAACAACGAGTTATTTTATAAGATCTTTGTTACGGCGTTAGAACAAAATATTAGACTATTTTATTTTTTTCAATGGGTATTGCAAACTAAACAAAAATATATTGATGGTCTTTCTTGGTGATTTTCAATTATGAAATGCAAAAAAATATATATAAGAATTAATGATAAACTATATAAAATGGTTCTTCTTTATGTTTCATGTCCATTAAATCTTCATTTTTATAAAGATTAACATAAGTACTTACTATTTAAAGAGATATGATCGATAAGGAATAATATCTCAGCCAATAAATACCTAATAATTTAAGTCGATTTTAGAATAAAACTTGCTATTGTAAATAATCATTTTTTTATAAAATGCATTTATTATTTTTCTATTTATGACTAGCCATAAAGTAGTTAAAAATCTATTTTTACAACGAATTTAACTATTTATAAATAAATTATAAGACAAATACTTGTTTTTTATTATTTCTCCCTTAATAAATCATCTCTCGTAAGTATATAGCTTGTATTTCTAATTCAAATTCCATCTTTGATAAAAGCGCCCTCTTATGACAAGGGCGGTAATTACGATCATGGTATTCGTAACAACGTGTTTTGACAACCAAACAATAGTCACAACGTGTACTCGTTGACAGTTCTGAAACGCGCTATTATGATTTTTTACTTTGGTAAGTTAATATAAAATCTTTTCTCTCATATAATTGTACTAGCTTCGGCAGTACATATACTAAAATTGGAACGATACAGAGAAGATTAGCATGGCCCCTGCGCAAGGATGACACGCAAAATCGTGAAGCGTTCCACATTTTTTTGACATTTTGAATCTGAAAATGAAATTATGTATAATGTATTTTTTTAAATCTAATTAAGGATTATAAAACAGCATAGTTTAGACATGCTTGTCTCAGAAACTACTCATCCGAATTGAAAAAATAATTTTGCCTATTATGTATTTCTTTGACATTTAATGTATTATTTAATATACAACGCTACCATCAAAAGTGTAGTGTAGGGGAAAATTATTAATGTTTTAAAGCTTACACTGTGTACACTTTGTAAGCTGTTAGTTACAGAAAATGTGTATGAGAAGATTATTCCTTTTCAAAAAATTCAAAATAGATATATCCGCAACACTATTCTTTGCAATCGAATTTCTTCAAAAATAAATAATAATCGAGGATTACTTGTTAGTCTTAGGTAGAAACACTGTAAGGTTTACTTCTTCAATTAAATTTGTTGTTGATTACAAGTATTTAATTGTGAACAAGAGTGGTCTTAACTCCGAACCAACTATTTAAAGTTGCTTACTGGCCATGCTAAATTAATTTAATTGCGGTCCTTAATTTAAAATACTTGAATAGAGTAAAAAATACATTTTAATTAAAATAAAACAATCTCATATAGTGAAACAGTATATTTAATCATTACATATCTACTTCATTTTAATCATGTGAGCTAATGACCAATCATGCTTAAGATCCACTGGTTCATCAATTTTTACCCCAGCAGCGGTGACCACACCGATCTGGTAACGAGGGAATGACCTGGCATCACGGTAGAATAGAACCTCCATACATTTGCGGACCAGTGCTCTGAAAAAAAGCAAAGATAAATAATGATAAAATTAATAACAATATTGTTTATTATTTCTATAATTATAAAAATAAAATATATATAAATTGTTGTTTTAAAAGTGTGTTTCATTCATTTTTCATTCATATATACATAAATTATAAGCAATTTAGCATGAAAAGTACATAGTTTAAACTCATTTATTAACTCTCAAACAATTATTAACCTCTTACTAAGAAACTAGGGTATTTCTTTTTAAGTTTTACTTCTACCCTCACCATCTTACAAAGTTACAATTACAATATAAAAATGCAACATGATTCATCGATAAAAGATTTTTTAAGGCTTAAAGACCAACCTCCCTTTTTTTATTAAGCAATATTTAGGACCAGAAATAAAAGAATTTGTCTAGCTTAAAGTGCTCTATGGGACAAAATTAAAAAAGATATTACTTTGCAGATTCCTCATCTAAGGGTCCTTTCTCAGTAACATCCCTGATTAGTGGTGTGGCCATATATGCTCCAAGTCCAGTTGCAATAGCTGCGTCTTCATATGCAGTGCCAAGTTTGTCAACAGCACCGAGGAATGGTTCACCATCCTAAAAAAAAAAAAAAATTATTTGATAAGTAACTAAATTAAGATTATTTCTACCATTACTAGAAAGAATTATGGATATGAAATAAAATTCTTAACAGATCCCAATGTTATACTATGCCTGCATAAATTTGAGTTTGTCTCCAAGCTTTTATGGCTGCAACATAGTACATATAAATGTGAAAACAAAATTAATTCAATAATCCCTTGGGATATCGAATCATAATAACTTGAGGTACCTGAATACCAGCCACCACATAGTTGTTCCACAAGGGGTCCATCTTGCTTCTCTTATTATAGAGTACTCTCGTTAACCAGCAGTGTAAGGAACGGGGCTTCAAATTCAGACCATCACCGAGGCACTGCTCATCAATGCTGAAATATTTCAAGAAACCAGACATTTTTTACAAATTATAAGTGTAAAGTTTAAACTCCTATGTACTATTGGGCAGACCCTATTCTGTGATAGTAGTCATTGATTTTTTTTTTAATTTTCTAGCTAATTAGACTTATATAACAACATACTAAATCAAAACTACTATTTCCCCAGAATTCAAATCTCTATCAGAACCTCTTAATGCAATAATTACGTTAACCCAAAGGCCCTAAAGGTGATGTAAACTTTTAGCTGCATAAGAAATATATATATGATATGAAACATGGGGAAATGCATACAACTACCACTAATTTAAAAGAAAATCTCAGTGACAGAATTGTTAACCCCCTTACAAAGGCATTTTACATTTAATGACATTTGTAACTCACATCTTTTGTTCAATAATATCCTTTAAGTACTGGAAGTCAGCATAATCCCCACCAGAGCCAAGCATAATCAGATCATTGACTTTCATAACACGAGGGCAATCTCTAAATCTGGCAAGAGAACCATATGATCCAAGGGTGTCTGCTGCTATGACGCAGCCTTTGTCGAATTTGACCGCAACAACTGATGTCGTGGTGGTGATTGGGCTTGCTGAACTAAAAGAAAACAAAAGTATATAAATTTACTCAAAAGACATAGCGGAGTAAGGTCTTATAGACCTGTAATATGAAGGTATTATTTAGTACTTTATATAAACACTGTACGTAGGCATCACTTACTGAGCTCTAAAATCTTGTAAAGGACGAGAGGCTGGCCCCAAGTTTGAAGAGTTTGCCGGAAAGTTGTAAAATGCCCCTGGGGTAGGACCATTGTGCCAAAGTGGTGCTGGTGATAAGGTATGTCCCATAAAGGCCATTTTTGTTTATTTACTTTTTTAAATCACGACTATGAGTTTAATTCTTAGTACAATAAATAACTTGGTTTTTATATTTTAAACAGGATGACAAGCGGTTCTACAAATGACAAACAAATTTCGAACACATTGGTCTATAGTCTATTATAGCACAGATATTTTTTTAGATTATCGTTTAAAAACATATACATGTAGATAATATATTTTAAGTTTGTTTTATTATATTTACATAAATTACTAATTTTTATTACTATATTAATAAAAACTTAATGTTTATTAAATTAAAATAACCTTTAGGCGTTCATGATAAAATTGTAATACGTTCGACACTTTCGTTTTTATTGTCTATGAGCGATTTCTGAACGTCATATGAAACTGACATTTGACCGAAACTTCAAATTACCGTTCTTTTAGTTTCCTCTACAAAAATTGACACAACAAAATGTCTAAGAGAGGTTCGTGGAAATTAAAAATCCGTTTAAATCTTAGTGAATTTAAACAAAAATGTGTGGTTCCAACTTAGTAATGCATTCAGCAACCATGTTATATGTGAATTTATATTTATTTTGTGTTTCGGTAGTGATACCGTTTCATGTGTTATGTTTTGGTGCAAGTAAAGTTGTGCTTTTTCTTTTTAAGGACGTGGAGGTTCCGCGGGAGCGAAGTTCCGCATATCCCTGGGTCTCCCAGTGGGTGCCGTGATCAACTGCGCCGACAACACAGGTGACTTGTTTGTGTTTATATAATAACCTCAAACTATAAAATGCAGATTGGCTGTAATGATGATCAATTTAAAAGTACTTGTTTGATGTATAATGATATATTCCTTGGCTGTGTCTGAAGTGCCAATCTATTAGCTTACTAAATGTTTTGTCGTGCTTTTGAGTTTCGCTATTGAATATAATATTTAATTTTAGGTGCCAAGAACTTGTATGTCATTGCTGTCCAAGGTATCAAGGGTAGATTGAACAGATTACCAGCTGCCGGATCTGGAGACATGATTGTAGCCACAGTCAAGAAGGGTAAACCAGAACTCAGAAAAAAGGCAAGATTTTTTATAAATTTCTATATTCAAGCCCCCTTTCTGGGGCTCTATAAAACTCAGTATGGTTTTTAATGCATGTGTATTTAAAGAACAATGAAGGCATTATAATACTGAATAAACCCTTTATACAAATTAGTTCAGCACACTAACTGATTTCTAATATTATTTTTGGAACCTTCTAACAATTTAACAACTGTAAGTAAGGGCTTGATCAGTGAAAGAAAATCACCATTTCACCTACACCTAGTTTATTATTTTACTACCCAAGATTTGAGCAAGCATATTCTTGGATAACATTTTAGTTAATGCTATGATGTTACACCAATGGTTTCGCTATTTACTATCAGATCTGCTACGCAGAATGTTGATATCACCTTGGCTGACTGAGCATTAACCACGCTAAGTTAACACCTACCTTTATTAGTGTGCATTTATTTAAGTTCTTATCATGTGGAAAGTATAGAGTCCTTACTGTTATACTAAGTCACAGTCACTGAACTATAATAACTTTTAGATTTGTTATTGGTGATCTTGCATAAATTTTTTTACCTTGAATTAACACACATTAGAACAGTAGAAGAAAAAATACTTTTGTGTTAGTATCTTATTATTAAATTATTTGTATCTTTTAGGTAATGCCAGCAGTTGTGATAAGACAGCGGAAACCATTCAGAAGGCGGGATGGAGTGTTTATATATTTCGAGGACAATGCAGGCGTGATAGTGAACAACAAGGGGGAGATGAAGGGATCAGCCATCACTGGACCCGTTGCTAAGGAATGTGCGGATCTCTGGCCCCGTATCGCCTCAAACGCTAGCTCTATAGCTTGAATATATTTTAAGATCTACTACTGTGTTTCATTTCTTTATTTTACACTTATAAAAACAATACATAATCATGTATGGACTAGTTTTTGTTAAAAGAATATTAATAATTAAAATTTTTAAGTTAAGTAACTTAGCTTTTTTAATTATAGCTAGGACTTGATATTTCAGATCCTTTGCAGTCCCCTTGTAAGACCTAAAAAAAGGTAAAACTAATATCCTGATTTAAAATAGTTTTAATTAAATATCCAATAGTCACATAAAGTGAAGACAGTAAGACTGAAAGGTTCCGAGTAAAAAATATTTAAAATAATACCCTCTTATTCATTTAAATATAATAAGATAGATGATAATAGTCAGAAGTTCAATTACATTATTTATATGGGCATAAATAAAAAAGGTATCTAGACAAGATCTTATATTATTCCACAGCTCAGTTATACTTCAACTTACAAAAATTAAGAACTTTTATGTTGCTTTTTTGACCAGTCACTCAAAGTGTAGAACAATTACACTTCATACTTGCAAATAACATCTAGTGAATATTTAAAAGAAAGTATAAAAAATTATAGCGTCATATAATAATTATCGACGTTTCTTGTGTGTCTTTGTAGGTCCTTTGACAAAGCACCAGTCCACAGATATTGCTTGGCCAAGGATGTCTGTGCTATCCAGAGCTTCTCGAGCACTCTGGAAGGGAAATAAAGGTTTTTAATGAATTAAAATATAGTTCTCTAATACAACATATCTTTATGGGACAAAAGAAAGAGTACTTAATGAAATTTAAGACTATAGCTATGCAATTATTAAATTCCTTGTACATTTTATAGTCATAATTTTTCTAACCAATAATCATATTCCCAGGACTTCATCCGCGTGGAATAGTTGGGATAGAATTTTAATTATTTAGGCTGTTTATTAATTTATGTAAGGGGCAGTCTATGTTGTTAGTGCTACTTTGCCCCAACACTCACCTTACATCACTCCTACTCTAACTCCCAGTCCTATTCCCAAAAAGCCAAGAAGAAAGTTTCATAGTTCTAGCTTCATAAACCACGGATTTCCTAACAAATTTTTATTCCCTTTTTCAAACCCTATCAACCCTTTTTTTGCATTAAAAAGTATATCTATATCCATTCTCAAGCTCTAAAATATCTGTGTACCAAATTTAATTTAAATCAGTTCAGTAGTTTCAGAGTGAAAGCCAAATAGAGAGGGTATAGATTAATTTGTTTAGCTAAGAAATGGCTTATTGTCTGAAGTTAATATAAACTATATTAAATTACTTTATAGTATACTTACTGCTGCCTGCTTGTACGTCTCGTATTCAACAAGAGCATATCCTTTTAGAAACCCTGTCCTGCGGTCCAGGTTCAAATGAATATTTTTTATATCTCCAAACTCAGAGAATTGATTCTAAAAGAAGAAAACCGCATAAAAGTTTAACGTGGAAGAAAAAAACAATGTCTTGGATAATATTGTTTAGCTTGTGTGGAGTATTGCATACACATTGTACTGAAATCCCTTTAAACCCTTTTGATAACCCTCTATCTAACGATAATATTACCTGGATATCCTCTTCTTGAGCTTCTTCATGTACATTACTGACAAACAAAATCCAACCCTCCACTGATCTTTGTGGTCCTGGTGTATTGCCATCACCTTCAGGGGCTAGGCTGTCATACCTGAAAGATACATATTATTTAGAAGATATTACTGCCAAGTATCAATGATATCCAAAACGTGCAATAAAAATTTTAATAGGCGTGTATCAAGCTTACCTTCCACGATTCCCTCTTTCAGAAGCACCTCCCGCCTCGGTTCCAAATCCACGCCCTTTACGTTTGCGTGCCTTTTCCTTTAATCTAGCGATTCCCTCTAAAAACAAAGAATCCTTATTGCATGAAAAACAAAATAATTCGATCAATAATTTTGGGGAACGCGGAGATCGTAACAAATGACGTATTTTATAACCTATCACAACTAATATACTGCTATTGTTATTTCGTGGAAATCCTAATTAAAGATCTTGTAAATTTAATATATGACATTTCAACACAATACTTATTGTAAAGTACTTAAGAAATTAACAAAAACACATACGTTCACCATCTTCATCGACCTCAAACTCTTCAGAGTTTTCGATGTCTAAAACATCTGCCATTTTCTCTTATTACAGAGTTTAGGCAAAACAAAATAGATCCTTCTGACTTGTATTTATGTCTCACTGACGATTAGATATTTTTAGCTATATCTAAATCCCAATTAGGGATAACTTGATTCCCTGTTATTTTTACAAAGTTTTATAATTTACACTTTACAGTTGTGGAGAGCCACAGACCTAATTCAATTTCTAGATTTTTACTTTTCTACAGATATAAACAATACATACCTCTAATCAGTCTAATGTTAATCGAATTTTACTCAAATATTTCAATGGAAAAAGTTTTTCAACTATACATCCTATCCTATGCATAATTATTATATAATTTTGTTTCGGAAAAAAATATGATTTTTATGTTACACAAAATCGAGAAACATTAACTGAAAACCTTTTTCGTGCAAATATCGAACACTCTGATAGAAGATTATATTTTACGCTATAAAAAAGACAACATTTTTCTGTGTTGACATAAACATGACCCTAAATTGTTTTAATAGAATCAAGTATTATGTAAATTAGAAAGTCTTTTTTCCAACATAAACCATTGGAACTTTTACCTAAATTATTATGAGTGTTTACAATATGTGGGATAAAGATATTAAAGAACCAAAATTGAAGTCTACTTTGTCTAATGAGTGGATTTACCATTCCCCTATTGCCACACCGAGGTCCTCTTCTCCTCCAAGCAGAGTAGGAGAAGCAATATTTAACAAATATAATGAGCTAATTCATTCAAAGACTAATATAGCAAATGACGCCAAGCAAGCTGAACCCTTAGAGAGACCATTTGATTTCGACGACGAAGAGTTCGCATTTGGAATAAATCTTTTGAATAAGAATGTAGCTTGCGTCGGAGACAATATTACAAAATTAATTCACATGGGTAAGTAAAGGGCTTCAATAGTTCAAAGTGCTATCGGTGTTTTTTTTCAAGTTGGACGATACTGGAAAATGTTATATTTCTAATTATACTTTATATATTTTTTACAATATTAGGTTCTATATACACTTATACCTACTAATTCATACAATATTATTTCTTACCAACCACGCTTATTCGTTACATCTACATATTTGTTCTTATGTGATGTCTCATTTGGGCATTATAATCAGCAATAAGAAATTTTGAAAAATAACTCGGCATTATATCACAAATTGCATAATTTATTATTAATTTTACAAACAATTACAATGATGTAACCAATTGCCTTGTATCCAAATTGTATTCTAAATTCGACTTTCAATGACGTTGGCATTGACACCGGCTTGAATGACAAAAATTTAAAGCTCATTTGAATTTACGAATGGTTGTACTGCGGTTTTTGTTTATTAATCTTTAAGTAATGCTAAAAAGATATTTAAAAAACATTTATAAATTGGAGATCGCTATATAGAAACAACACAATGCCGGAGATGTCTCTGAAAGACTCTATAATTACTTCTTTAAGCGGTAAGTACGCGTTTTTCTTACATTAACACTGTTTAGGTTACATAATTTTTGTTTTCACCTATTTCTATTCTGTTTGACTCGTTTCTTTAATTTTAGCTGTCGCGTGACCTATATTTCGTCCTTTAGTGTCCGTCTACAGTAACTTCATTTAGGTGTTTCGACAAATCACATGATGAAGCCTATTGATGATTTTGTTTTTGGTATAGTTTTAAGTTTTACGTGTATAGTACACTAACATAGACTTACTAGGTTTTGTTTGGTTTTTAAACTAAAATGTATTATTGTATTTTATTATTCAATTCATTTAAATATGTATTGTTAAAATTATGATTCTCATGTGATGCTTGTTTGATGATCTAATGATTTATAATTAGGGTGTTAGGTCATGAATGTATTATAAGTGATGTTTACATGTAACTAGGTTAACAATTGTATTGAGATGTTATTTTTTGGTACTTGTACTAAAATTTTGTACTAAAGTAAAAGGTAAATAAATTACATTTAATTGTGTTGTTTTAAGTTTTTTTAACACGTTATGTTTTTTTTTTCAATAAGGGTAGTTGTAGGCTACCCATCTTTATATCACATTTTTATATAAAATATTGTAATATTAAATGATTTCAGCACAAGAACCGTGGCCAGATAATGTTAAACTTTTCCAACCATATGAAGTAGAGCAGATTCTGTTACCTGATAATGCTAGCTGTCTTGCTGTCCAGGCATTTTTAAAGGTTATTGAAATTACTTGTACCTCACAAAAACATTACATTCTACAAAGCAAAAGCAAGTTTATTATTTGTATTTACTGAAAATTTACCTATATTACATGTCTTGTCACACAAATTTTTTACCTTTAAATTTTGCCTTAGAAGTATAAAGTTCACAACATAATATTATATGTAAGTAGTTAAAAATAATTTGAAAACTTTAATATTTAGTACATATATAATCGCATTATGTTAAATTGAGATAATATTTATATTCAGTGGCTCAATTAGTTAAAACAGCAGCGTGGAAACATACAAAATTGTTTTCAAATTTTTATAACTATTTTCCAGGAATCGATTCTGGAACTTCTGTACGATTACCAATTGAGAGTGATTGTATCGATTTGAACATCTCATTATTTTCAGATGTGTAACCTTCCATTTGATGTAGAAATGCGTTGGAATGCAGAATTTATGTCGCCATCTGGTCGAGTGCCGTTTATCAAATGTGGAGCTTTTGTTGTGTCTGAGCTTGAGCCAATAGTCCAATTTGCTGCTAACAAGGGTGTTTCATTATGCAGCAAGCTCAGTACAGAGGAACGAGCTGAAATGAGGGCCTATATGAGCCTAATCACCAATGTTCTGGTGAATGCTGAGGTATTGTGGAATTTCTTTCTATTAATATTGTCTTGCAAAAAATAGTGTCTGTAGTTTACGCGAGTAGTACACATTTAAATAAAACCCTTTAACAGTTTAAAAGGCAAAGTATATTAGGTAAACCTGTTTGAAAATGTTAACTACAGCCCAATGCTTTTCCGTGTGACCACTGCAAAGCATACGTCAGGCCATAGTTAACATAAATGTCAAATAAGTTTAACTAATATATTTTTTGTTTACTTTTATTTCACTAGCAAAAAAAGTTTTTTTTTCCTGTCAACAAAGTTACATTTTAAAATTGTATATAAGTTTGACATATTTGGTCCTGAGTCCTTATCAACTTATTTTAAGTCATTAACCAATCTGCCTGGTTTACAATGTGCTTTGTGCTTGTAAAAATGTGTTTTTAAAATTTACCCTTGGATTACGAAGATGATGTTTTTAACATATTTTGACTTATTTATAACACATGATATAATAAAAAAGTTATTTGAAACCTGAATTGGTATGGTTGGGTCTAAGGCCTAATCATACTGAGCAATCTCTTCTAAACAATAGTCATCCGATCTAAGCAACAAATCACATATAAAAATTATCACTCAATGATCATTTTTTATTTCTTACGATTTTTCTATATTCACGTCAGTAGTTCAAAGTTGTATTTTAATCTAATTGCAGCTATACATATCGTGGGTTGACCAAGAGACCTTCAACACAGTGACTCGGGTTCGGAACTCGTCCGTGTATCCCTGGCCATTAGGCTGGATACAGACCAGGTCAAAGAGAAATAGTGTTATTAAACGTCTCAAGGCATTGCATTGGTATGACAAGACTTTGGATCAGGTTTTAGCTGATGTAAGTACTTAAATATTGTTCTCTAAGAGAAATAAAAACTAGATTAAATACTGTCTGAAGTTTACGCGAGTAAACATTTAAATAAAATACTTTAACGGTTTACAACGCGATAGATATCAGTTAAACTTATATGGAAAATTATTTGCGCTACGTGACCACGTCCCCGTAAATATGGCTGCCGCAAAGCTCCGCAATGTCGGCCGTATTTAAAATAATTTATATCGCGTTTTAAACCATCACTGTTTTATTTGAAAATAAAAAACCGATTATATTGCCATAAACCATAATAAATTTACTTATTTTATTAAAGTGAAGGCACTTTAAGCGAGTTGAGTCGCAGTTTGTATTTAAATATTGAAGATCGTCGTTTGTTTAGTTTACACACAAAGTTGTATTTTAGACGGTTTAAATTTAATATTTTCAGGTGGAGCAGTGCTGCAATTCGCTCAGTCAACGTTTAGGTGATAGAGACTACTTTTTTGGAACGTGAGTTTATCTTTTACTTTGGCCTTTCAGTCGTAAAACTTGTTAATGTTTGCTTGTGATATCTAGAGCATGCGCAACTCTTTTTTTTTACGAACTCATTGGTCCAATACTACTATTTGACCAGTAAACTAATCTACGGGACGTGGGTTCGATCCTCACTAGATTCAATAACTTTTTGAATCGATTTATCACTTTCTGAACATGTGGGATGTATTCGTCTACAAATCTGGATATCAAATGGGTGGGAGGAATATAGAAATTCCGAATCACCGTCCACAGATGAAATGCAGAGATGTCTTCAGATTTCAAAAGAGGTCGACAGCGCATCTTGTCAAGGTGTTTTATGGGCTGGTTTATTCGCCTTCATCAAGTGAAACATCCTTGTCTATCTTCCTCTTTCATAAGAAAGACATTGTTCATCTAACTCTCTCAATTGGATAACCTAACATCCCCTGCAGTGAGGGTGTGGGGATTTGGGGGCATTTAATTTTGTGAACTCAGACAGACCATTGACCGGTGTTTCCAGTAAATACATCATTATTCCTATCTCCAAATTCCTTAAGATAAATTGAAAAAAATCACGACTCGGGCAGGACTTGAACCGGCAACCACAGCGTTTCGTGCTGTTGGTCTAACCAATATAACTACCGAGTCTTACATGTCATCGTCGAATTTTTCAACTTATTGATATATATGTACTTTTCGCGTAATTTAACTTCAACCTTAACACTTGCGTATTTAGGTTCTTTTTTTTAAATTTAAATTATAATCTATTTTTAATATATATAGTGCCATCATGTGCAAAATATTACAGTTTCCTATATCCTTTATATGACCCCACTCCTTCCCATCCTTATTCATCAAAATGTTCCTAGACCAACACCGCTTGATGCCCTTGTCTATGGTCATATTCGGGGATTATTATCAGCTGTTGGACCCAAAGCTGCATTACTAATAAGACCGATAACAAGCTGTCTCCTCCGACACCTCTTGAGGATGACAAACTTGACACTGATGAAGCTGACGGTGTGTATCTATAAAGTGAATGTCATATTGATAGTATTCATAGACCAAATGAATCACTCTGTAGCCAAATAGTTAGCCTAGCATTGCATTAAGGTTGTGGGTTCGAGTTCTGGGGATGTTGGGGGTGCGGGGGGGGGGGATTCACTTTTATATTAATCTAACTAAATATGTAATTGATTCACTGTATCAATGATTATATGAATTAAAATCAAAGTCCACTTTAATAATTATAATTATCAGTTCAAACATATATAATTTTTGATTAAAAACATTTGCTCATTTGTTTTAAACATATATCTATCACACTACATATAACTTGCCTCATATAAAATAACTTTTATATGAGGCAAGTTATATGTAGTGTTTTATATAATTATATGTATTGAATTCTGCTACCCAGCCCCAAGAGGAGTATTTAGTGGCTCAGGGTTATCACCTCTGTTCTCGAAGACATTCACCAGAAAGATCAATTTCAAGGACAAAGCGATCGAAGATGTGTATACGCAATTCTAGTCGAGAGAGCATTACTTATAATAAGGATGTATTTGGTTATTATCTATTCTTCCGCAATAAATCAACTCGTGCTATCGGAAACAAAAATAAGCTTAGCGTAACGTCAAATGTTTCATCCAAATATGGATAACCATTAAGGAGGTTGCACAAACAGACATACATACATTCGAAAATAATTATAGCACAGTCAATTATTGTCTGTACTTTACGCGAGAACGTCACCAAATTAAATAAAACTCTTTAACGGTTTAAAACGAGATTAGTTACTTTTTTTAACTATGACCCGACGTTTTGGTTGTAGCTATGAACGGGCATCAAATATAACGCGTTTCAAATCGTTACTGTTCTATTTAATGCATAATACTTGTTATTTTGAAATTCCAAACATCTTGTTGCGATAGCGGGGTGGTGTTGGAAGTAAAAATCTTATATTTGGATTTTTAATATTTTAATTTTTTGTTATTTCAAGGTTTTAAACCGTTTGCTTCAAAGCAAGTTATAATAATGACTTCCAAAAATGGTACAATAACTTGTCAGTACGAAGGACAGAGTGAAATAACACCCACTGTTAAAGAGTCGCATAGTTTCATCGATAACATAATCTGTGACATTATCGATAAAGTCGATGAGATCGCCTCGGACATCGATAAGAATTTCGAATTTATACCCTGCCCTGTTATCGATAAAAGCTACATAAAAGTAAACGATTTTCTCGATACAATCGAAGAGAATAGTGTTTCTGTAGAAACGGAGACAGACGATGTATTGCAAGTCATAAACGATAGTGATGTGCTTATCGATAAATGCGAAACGGAAATCGATAATGATTTGAAGAGCTGTACTGATGATGTTGATTCTAGGTAATTCGGTAGTTTAGTATTATTAGTTGAAGGAATGATTTACTAGGCGTTCTCTAATACAAATGAAGTAACGAAAATATTTCAACAGTTGTCCAACGATAATTATAAACCAGAACGGAAGCGATTTTAAAACTAAAAGTGTTACCAGTGACGAAAATAAATCGCAAAAAATACTATCTGTCAAATCAAGTCTGTCTCGATTTGAAATTTCCAGAGGTTTTTTTTTTTAATTTTTTGATTTTCCTTTTTACGTATAAGTTTATTTATGTTGTGATTACAAAAAAATATAGTAATTGACGTTTCCTAAGAAAAGTTTACACGATGCGGTTTTCAGAATCTAATTCGACTTTAAAGGGAGACAACGATGAAGAAATAAGTGTTGAAAGTCTTCTTAGATTGCTTCGAGAAGAACGCGCTGGTTTCCAAAGCCCCCTTATAGCGCCGGATGTTGATTAACTCGATTCAAATTCGATTATAGTGATGTTATTTGATTATTCCTTTTGATTTAATTAAATTTGACGTTTACCTTTTGTTATCTATTTTTTTAATAATAGGTGAGGTTTCATATTCAAAAGTCAATGAGGTAATTACTAGAAAAGAAATAATGTTGTATGTAGACTTAGCGCATAGTTTATTGAGCACTATTGTTACCAGTTAGTATATATTTAAAACATTCATATTTTTCTCATGTGGCGTCGTCATTCTCTGCACATGATGGCGTTTTATTAATTAAAAATCGATTTTAGATTGAAAAAATGCGCGAGAGGTGCACGTATCAATAGGTTGAAATAATTCGACGATGATGTGTACGACACGGTAGCTCAATTGGTTGGAGCAACAGCACGGATCGTTGTGAATGCCGCTTCAAGTCCTGCCAGTGTGGTAAATTTTTTTCAATCTAAAATCGACTTTTAATTTAATGTACATATTTTGACATATATCGTATCCACGTACTTGTATATGCTTAGTTTGTCTGTAAATAGGTTTTAGAAGAGTATATCGTAAGATTTATTTCCATAAAAATACATTGTGTATTTATCCAACGATGTTTTTTTCTTTCCAGACCAACAGAACTGGACGCGCTAGTGTTCGGACACGTTTTCACGATAATCACAACGCGACTGCCGTGTCGCAAGCTAGCGGAAACAGTGCGTCAACACGACAGTTTAGTCGCGTTAGCTAAACGCATCGACGAAAAGTACTTCAAGCGAGCATAGCGCGAGGTATTCAAGGATATCTCAACCGTGTTTCAGAGTCCTTGAATCCTTACATTACCCATTAGCTCCCGCAACCGGACTAGTCTTCCCCCACAGACCATAGACTGTGAAGTGTTTAGAATCTGTACTTGAATGTCAGGTTGACAGTTGACTTTTTGTTCGCACACAGATTATGTAGATTTTTAATCTGTGGGTAACAATTTTGCGCGTTTTAAAATGTAATGTTGATTATTTCAGTATTTCTTTAAGTTGATTTTTCTCATGGCATTTGTATTAAAACATTTCGTGTAATGCACAATTTCGCCACATGAATGATTCACATTGTGTAGATTAGAATTATATCGCTGTAACATACTAGTACTGACCCTAAAATTTTAATCTGTAGTTGTAAAATTTATTTCAGTCCGGTGAATTAGGTACCTGCGGCATATCTAGAAATTAAATATTGTGTATTGCGCAACATACTCAAGTAAAATTGTACCTGTTATGTTTTAAATAATTGTGTAGTCCATACACAATATTACGCTGTACTTACCTTGCATTTGACTTCTTCCCTCGTAGTGTAGTTAATTATTCCTATTGTAATGCACAAATTGTTGCAAAATCTTGAAATGATATTAAACGTTTTACAATCGCGTTATTTTACTTTTATATTGACATAAAAAGCAATAATATTCTTATATTGTTACAAAGGTCTTGGTTCAATTAATTAATTTTTATAATTATCCGTTGGTTTACATAAATAGTAATTTTAGATCCATAAAAGAAATAACTTTTATATCGAGTTCAATACAAAAATGAGAATTTTGTAATATTTAATATATTTTTAAGTGTTTTGTTAAGTTTGTATTAGCGAGCATTTGTTAATTTCCAAAGTAGGTTTATTAAATGTAATTAATTATACATTTGTTTAATTTTCGCGTGGGTATATTATTGTGCGCAACTCGAAGTATTACACGTGTTTTAGACAAATATAAATAACGTCGAAATAGATGGCGCTTGTGTAGTCGTTTACTCTCACATTACTAGGCCCTCCTCACTACGCCTGCTGACGACCATCCCAAACGTCGGACAGTTGTTAAAAACAATTCAGTAAAATATTTCGCGTTTTATTCAGTAAGTAAGATCAACAAGTCCTAGCTTGATCAAGAATTTCGAACATCGTATTCCCATTGTATAAACAATCGACAATGGCCTCTCAAGACACATTTATTCAGTTCTAGCTGTGCCCGCGACTTTGTTCGCGTGGATATTTTGGATACAAAAGAAAGTAGACCCAAAAATACATGAATTAAAACACTTTTAAAAAATTATATTACGTTTGACGCAAATACACGTCCAAGGCATATAGGGTAAAAGTTTTTCGAGCGCTGATCTGTCTTGAGCAAACGAGAGGTTAAAGACTGCGCGCTACTACTGGCGACCGTTGGTAATAAAGATAATCCTTCGGCTTTTAAAAGAGATGTTGACGGATGTCAAAATGAATGGCGTCGACAGAATGAAATGTTTGAAGTGGCTCCTTTGTTATCTTGTAACAAAAAAAGGAATATGATAAGTCTCATGCAAAATTATTATTATGAAATATCAATTGCTAAGTCTCTAAAAATGTGTGACATGGAAATTGCATGCTACCGGTTAGGTGAGGTGTTTAGACCAGTCGCACGGTGTGCGGGTAGTTATAGAAATAAAACACTCAACTCCTTAGTCTATGTTTATTTGGTTTCATCACGAAATAAACGGTTGCAAGGTACCATTCAGTCGTTACCACTCCCATCCGAACGGAAACTTAATTTCTAATAAAACGGTGGCAAACACACTCGCGCACAGAGTAAAAATAAATTACGATTTTTACATTTTTCATTTTACAATTTTTTTTTCGTTTTCACACATCACAAAATAAATACTGTTAAGCACGAAACCTAAGCTATGTGTGCTACTTCCATTTTGACAAGAGTTGACATTAGTTAGGCTGCAAGATGGCGGTGGTGCGCCAGGGTTCTAGATCCTTCTAGACTGGTGCAGGATCATTTGGCGGACGCTGAACGTGGATACCCCGAGACCGATGGCTGCTAGAGCTAATGCCGATCTTGACATCATCTTTTCACGGCTCGCTGGCTGTGGGCAAGAGAAAAAGGTATAAAGATTTATCTGCCGTAAGATTTTTTCAAATTTATATTTTTTTTACAATGTCATTTTAAACAATCGCTAGGATGAATGATTACAAGGCATTAGTTACTGTTTATAATATGACTAAGTAATATCTTTTAAAAAATTGTTACACTTTTGTGTAGGGTGACTGCTAAAATAGTTTTAAAATCTCGCTTTGATACTATTTTTTATATCTTTAATTATTACGAACATAAGTCATATACACTGTTTAAAAACGTATAGTTTGTTATAAATTATAATTTCATTGTTCCAAAGCCAATAGAGAAATGGACCCTACTACTAACAATTTGATATCTGTTTGTCACCACACTGTTTTTCTTGAATTTTTATAAATTATATATAATATAATAGATAATATTGAAAAAATTTAATAAATAATGTATATTTCATAATCAACGTGATTTCTATATAAGCGCGATAAAACTTGATGAAACTAAAATTTTATTCTAATAATAATTTCCGAGGAGAAAAAGAAATGACGACTCTATAGCGCCATCAATCAATCACCAATGTCTTAAATTTTCGCGTAAAATGTCAAAGTCGCCATTTTTTGCAATTTTTTGGCATCCGTTTGTTTACAATTTGTCGTGCCAAATTTACTGTAGAACCAAAATAGTGAGGTGGGTGTGAATGTCGAAGGAGTTTGTTCCGCTTTGTGTCTGGAGAATGTCGTTTTGCTGAAGGTCGACTATTTAATTTACCATACTAATCTTTCACGTTTCACCAGATTTTAGGCAAAGTTTTTGTTACTTAAAATGTGTGAGCTAAGCCGCTTGAACTTTCAAAGATGGTAAAATTACAATTTACAACACTAGTAAGGAAAAAGCTTTTAAAAATTAAACACAAATATTAAAACCATACTGTAACAAACAGTAGAATTGTTTGTATGGATTAAAAATCTAAACATCATCAGCGTTCCGTGCTGTTGTTCTAACCAGGAATCCGTAGCTCAAGCTTAGCTTAGCCCGCTTGGTTAGAACGGAACGCTGAGAACGCCAGTTCAAGTCCTCCTGCCCGAGTCGTAATTTCTTTCAATTCATATTCGAATTAAAACTCGAAAATGTTACAAATATATTAAAGTTTACAAAAGTATTGTCTGTAGTAAACGCGAGTAGTACTCGTTTAAATAAAACACTTTTAACGGTTTAAAACGCGAAATTGATTGTTTTAGTCATGGTCGCGGTTACAGCAAGCGAAACGTGAGTCGTAGTTAAAAATAAGGTAATAACTAATATATTGTGCGATAAAATTTTCAATGTGAATACAATTTTCTTAAGTAGGTCGTATATCGTGTTTGTGGCCAGTCCGTGTGGACTAGACTGTACTAGAAAGCCATTTTCACTTTGACTAGTTTCCCTTTGCGATGTTATAACAATAAAAGATTTTCATTCACGCATCCAGCTATACTATAGTAATATTGCGAAACATTCGTCAAGAGAATTTGTACATGTGGTACAGGTATTTGAGTGCGTAATGAATGGATTGTTGCCCCCAATATGTACACTACTATTACGTACTGTCTGTAATTTACGCGAGTAAATTAAAAAAAATTTGACCAAAACGCGAAGTGTATTAGGTAACTTAATTACAATTTATTTTGGCTACGGCCCTATGTTTCGGATATTTTGGAACAGCAAAATCGTTTTATTTCCACTATTTCAATTATATTTTTTATTTGAATTTCAAACTGGCTTGCACATAGAAAGCTGTTTAAAAAAAATTGGCGCGTAAGAATCTACTTATTTTGTTTCGTTAACTTCGTCATTAGTAAAATAAGACTTGGCTTAAAGATCTCGTTGCCAGGCCATTAAATATTACAAAAAAATCTATTACTTAGTTCTAAGAGAGCGATATAATTTTTAGTCGTCAAGTGTAATATATGTACATGTATGTATATGACAAGAAGTCACATGACAGTTGCTGGTTATCGACCTTGAGTGACCATCCCGCGGGTTGGGACGCAGTGCGCAGTATCGATCGCTTACATAACTAGACTAGTGTTACCGTGTTGCATAATGCCTAAACTAGATGCACTGTGCAGTTATAATCGTGATTTGTAATAGATATGGTTTCAGTTACAAAAGATAGCCATAAGTATGCATAAAGGTTACCTAAGTTTGTAGTTTACGCGAGTGGTAAACTTATAAGTTAAACACTTTTTAACCGTTTAAAACGGGATAAGTTAAATTATACATTGACTCGGTAGCTCAATTGGTAGAGCAAGAGTACGGAACGCTGACGATGCCGGTTCAAGTCCTGCCCGAGTCGAATTTTAAAAATTTATTTTAGATTTTTAAATGAAATAGTCGCTTTTGGCAATAAAATTTAAAAGAACACATTAAGCTACCATGTCCAAACGCAATTTTTATTACTTATATATCGCACATGATGCATATATAAAGTAAATAAACATTTACGTTTTGAAAACGGTAGTTAATGTGTTCATGTACACTTTATTGCAAAGAAGGAATTTCATTTGTTATTGTAGATGTAGACTAAAATGTAGCCTTAACCAAAAATCAAACTTTACGACCACCAACGTACTGTTTCATTGAACTAATCGATTGAATACCTTTCCAATTTCTAGCTCTCATTTGCAAATGTGTGTTTTTGTATAATATTATAAGTGACATTTTAATCTTAGACATGTTAATTGCCAGACATATTTTAGTACACGTTATCAGAAGTCAGAGGGATTCAATGGAGTATCAACATGATCAATTTAATATCAACATTGAACTTTGCTCCAGAAGTGCGTCAAAGAATGGACTTTACATTGAGAGGACTTGTACATACCAGGAGCTAAAATAAAAATAGATCCATTTATTTAC